CCCAAAGCAGGGAAACAAACGTGTGTGTGATGGAAGCCACTAGAGGATGACTGAGAGCTGCTTTTCTTGGTAGTGTGTGTTTTGTGTGTGCATGCACAAAATTTTTCAGTTATCTTTCTGAGAAATAAGGAGATAGAGATGATGAGAGTTGGCTCTGCTTACGCCTGAGGACCAAAGAATCTCAGTGAGTCAGGCAAAGTGAATCAGAAAGATTCACTTGCTCTTTTTTTTTTCCCCCAAACATTTTATTAAGCAAATGATTACTTGTAAAAAGGGAAAATGGTAGTTCCCTTATATATTAAGAGAATAAGGTTGGATGAATCACTAAGTTGGTAATGCTACAAGAAGTTACAGGGATCGTCCCTGGAAGCACTGAAACTGCTCCTGTTGGTATTCTCTCTGGTAACTCGAGTTGGTAAATGTGAGAGTATCTGTTTTTTCTCAGCTCCAAAATTGTTGAAAGTAGGAGCCTGTGTTTATGAAAGTTCTTACAACAGAGACCTGAATCATACAATTTACACTGAATTTATGGGCACTGTCTTCTTTACTCAGCTGTCTCTTGTCACGGGGGAAATGGGAGGATGCCCAGATTCCAAGGGAGTGTTGTCTGTTCTTACAAATCTTGATGATTATTCACTTACACATAGTGGTTGTTAAGTGTAGACCTGAACCACCTTTTTTAGTCCTTCTGCTTGGAAGGCATTTCTTTCCTTCTCCCCATCCACCAGGTCTGTGGAGGTACCTGACTGCTGTGGTGGCCATGAGAGCCTCCTTTGATTTAAAAATACAGGTGGAGGAAAAGGTTTCTTCCTACTGAATGGTCCATTACTCGTTTTAATGGTTGGTCTTACAGTTCCCATATGGTAACATTGTGAAATGAGCTGGTTCTCCTCTATATTGCTGTTACTCTTAAAGTTCAAGATGAAAACTGAAAAGGTGTTGGCTAGTTTTCACGACAGCTTGCGGAAAACTGTGAGCCTCGGCGGAGGGATCTGGAACTCTGTTGCATGTAATAGTTTCTGCTTAATCTTTGTTCAGAAAGATGCCTTTGCAAGCTCTACGGCTAGAAACTTAGAAGTGTAATACTAGCTTTTTAGAAGTGTGCTGAATTGTTTCATCTAACAGTATGAAAGTGGCTTAATAGCTTTCTAAAGAAGAAAGGAAAAGTTTTACCATTTTTTACCAGATCCAAAAAAATACAGGTGTTTTCTTCACATGACTGACTGCAATGGAGTAAATTTTTACACCTGCACCATAGAGCATGCAGACAATAGGTTCTTGTATGTGTTATGCATATACATGACTATCTGATACTGTCTGCAGAATACACATAATATACTGTTGGAAAATCTTCCAAATTCTGCTTGATAACGTGGGGGGAAAAAAGCAATCCAACCTGTTCTCCAGTTGCTGGAACATATATAAAAACAAGTCAAGTTTTTCCTTGTCGGAAGCAGCTGGAATGCAAAATATCTTCAACTTCAGCTCTTACACATTTTTTCCCTATTTCTGTGGGTTCATCCTATAGCGATAAGGGAAACTGTAAAAATTACTATATACCAGCCGCTGAAACTTGAAGTGCTGAGCAGAGCTGATTGCTAACAAGTATTTAAGTTCTATGCCAGCTGTGCAGGATAAACGTTTCTGTAGCTTTTCTTGAAATAGTTGAACTATAGATGAAATGCTGTTGTCATGTGAGAGTTCTTGTTCCACGTGTTTCAGGCAACTCCTTTATGTCTATAGACAATCCTTTATTACATCTTCAGGGAAGAAGGCTTCTGTGTGACTATTTTTCATTAAGGTCAGTTTTTGTCATGATAAGTTATTCTCAAGAGTCTGCTCTTCTAGAGCTTTGCTGAGTGACTTTCAGAGTAAAGGAATACAGCTTTTAGAAAGCATCAGAGGAATTTAATAAGGGATAATACTACAGATGCTTACAAATGGCTTCTTGAAAGTGTAGTGTGAACGTATAACCTTTATTTTCATTAATCTTTTAATGCTTTGATTTATCTCCTTCAGCTTCCTATGTAATTCAGCTTGAGTTTTTATTACCTGTTAAGGGAGTGATCAATATAACCATACAACTGTTGATAATTCTACTTAAGTTGTTCCTGGTAATATTGTGAAGCTAAACTGGAGATAATTCAGTTACTTTTGTTACCATATTTATCTGTTTTTTGTATTTTGGGGGTTTTGTTCAAAATCCAGTAAAGTAGTACATGCGACAGGTGGGATGCAATCCTACAGACATACACTCGAGGTTGTTGGGACACTGGCCGACATGAAAATTGGTCATAGATCAGATTTTGATTGAGTAACACTAACTTAATTGTAATCAGTGGGTAAATAGGGAGCTTTAAGCAGAAATTCATTCATTAAAACTGGGTGTCTACTGAAATCATGGACTTAATGATCAGTATGGGGGCAGACAAGATTATTGCTACTTAGTACAGAAGTTCATTTCTCATAGCTTAGTCTCTATCAATAAAAATAAACTATTGCAGTTTTCATAAGTTCACACCAAAATTGGAAAGTACATTAAATTTGCCAAAAGGGCAAAACATATTGCAGCATATGCCAGCCCAAGCTAAGTACTGTGTGTTACATTGCTTCTTTTGTCTTTATAGTTGGGGAAAAAAAAAAAATCACCTGTGATCACTTCTTAAAGAATGCAATGAAAGTCTTGTGGGAAAATCGAACTTAAGTCGGATATTTGGATATTAATGTGCTTACACCTCCTTCACAGAACAGATGCTTTTAGGCCATAGTTGTTTGACACTCACCTCTGGCTTTGAAAAGATTTGTGTGTTTGTAATAAGAGCTGATACTGTGCTGCAGTGATCGAGAACGGCAAAACTGCAGCCTACTTTCAGGTGCGTCTTAATCTGTCAGGATCTGTTTCCATGCACAGCTGATAGACTTGCTTACCTCTAGTTTGAAGCACGCAAACAAAAGTTCTGATAATGTATGACCCAGAAAATAACTCTCACACTAGTAAGGTGAAGGGTGTGGAAATGCACGTTCTGGTTGTTTCTGCCATACTGACTTACATAATACAAAGTCTAAACAGCTAAAGCTAGTGAGATCAATTAACAGTAATGAAGCAGTCTCATGTCCTTCCAAAACCTTGCCCATAACATTATCTTTTAACTCTAATGAAAGCTTAAATAATATTTAAGTCTTAAGGCAGGGTGCAGTTGCATAAACACAGGTGTCCGGTGTCCTTTTAGACACAACAGGGTATGATGTCAATGCAAAAGGCCGTGCGTCACCTGCATAGGTCTTGCTGTCATATCTGCCAGTGCCGTGGAGATGTCTCAGAGGCACTGAAGTCAGTATTACTTGAACTTTACAGTATTAATGAATTTAGCATTGTGGTTTTTACTTCTATGCAGCTGAAATACTGCATGTTTTTGAAAAAATAGTTCAGTGAAAGCAAAACTGTAAAATGGACACACGTTGGTGTTTCTGTAAAATCAGGTTGTACAGCACTTTGTTGCATACCACTTGAAAAAAATACTCATCCCAAGTTTTATTTTGCACAGCACAGCATCCATACAGAAGTAGCCTTCCATCTAGCTGCTGTGTGGTGCAAATACACATTTTTCAAATGATAAATAAGAAATAACCTGCATGTGTGTACTGCAGGTTCAGTTTTTAGCCTGTACTTGGTTGGATTAAAACAGCTTATTTCCCAGTTCTTTCTTCATTCATTCATTGCACAGATTGCTTCTAGCACAGTCATATTTGTTTCTATCACGTTTACATTTGTTGGTCAATCTGCTAAATGGATATGTATGTGCTGCATTTGATAGTACTAAACTGGTGTGCGGGTTTCTGTTCTGTGCTAGCACTGTGTACATGTGTGCTCCCCTGTGTACAGCTGTAGAAGGGTGTTCCTCCATCATCAGAGAAATCCCTTTTCTTGGCTTCCCACCCTCTTCTAGATGAGCATTATTCGAATGCTTCTCTTTATTTTGAAGGATGGAGGGGAAAGGCAGTCTGCTGGCGAAAGGAAACCTCTCCTGCCCTCTGGCTTCTCTTCCTACTTGATTGTAGTGCTATTTATCTCTTCTTCACAGCTGTTAGGTACTCTGGGAGTGAGGTGGTCAGAAGAGAGGGTTGTGGCTTCTGAGAGTGGTATGTCCTGTTCCAGGGCTAACTTCCCTTCTGTCCCCTGCAAGCTGAGCTTTGTAGGGGAAAGAGCACTCTTGTCGCTGCCTGGCTTAAAAGCCTTGAGAGAATGTGCATTCCTTCTTTTTATAAACTAAACATTGGCTTTTTTTGGTTAATTTGTACTCCTAAGAAGTTGTTTTTCTGTTCATGTACTTGCAGATGATGCTGTTTTTAAAAAACTTCTGTGAGTTAAGGATTTGTATTGGCTATAATGAAGTTGTAGTGGAATTAGGAAGAATGTTATATTTCTGTAGCCTTTACTTTTTTTTTTTTTAATTCAAGCATTAAGAAACCTAATTGCATGGCTGGTGAACTCGTTACTACAGATTTTAACAGTTACGAGGATAACCGTATCCATAATACTTAAGGCTTTGGTTTTAAGCTCTTCTACAGAACCTTTCCTTCCATTTTCTTGCACTCTTGATACAATCAATGTAGCCATAATAGGGGAACCACTTGTCCATTGCATGGATTCTGACAAATGTGGAAATGGTTAAAGCTCCTGTGGGTTCAGAGTTGGACCTGTGAAGCAGTACCAGCACCCTTTCATTTAACAGCATCTTGTGCATTAGTATGAGAGAATTCTATTGTGTACATTTTATAAAAGTGCCATATGACTTAAGATTTAACACATTCTGCTTCTTTTAAGTATCACAGTGTTCATGGAAAATGTGCTGTAAGACTGGAAACTTATATGGTTAATTAAAAAAAGGCAGATTTTTAATATGAGCTCAGTCAGTGGAAGACATCAACAAAGAGTTTTTTGTTGGCTGTCAAGTGAGAAAAACAGAAAAGACTTAAATTCTTTCTCTAATATTTCCTTCCAGGCTGACTCATCAGTAGAAATTGGGAAGAGCTGCAGAAGAGAAGCCAAACAGACAAGCTGATAACTCAAAGAAATACTCTTTTGAGTTGGGGGTTCAGAGTGGAGCCATCATGAGCGATGTTACCATTGTGAAGGAAGGCTGGGTTCAGAAGAGGGGTAAGTTCTGCCTTTTAATGGAGAGTTCTTCTGATGTATGGTACGCTGTGCGCAGTGGCATTACGTGCTTACACATATGAGCATTCTTGATTTATCTTCTGGTCTGCAGCGAGCTAATCTGACCATATGGAATTAATGGCCATTAAGGCCTTGGTCTTGTTAATACTTAACCCTCAGCACTGCCCCTGTTTATAGGGGTAACTGACAGTGAAGAGGAAGCTGGACTCAGCAATTCCCACTTAATCTTGCTGTTGCGGCTGCTGTCACCCATGTATCAGACTAAGTAGGCTGTTGTGGCAGCTGGAAGAGGTAGTAATAGAGGTGCACAGTAGAAGGTTGCCTGGAAGCTGTTGCGGATGTGATACTTTGTGTGAAACTTCCTAGATGCCAAAACCATTCACTGTGGCTCAGCTTGTATTACAAATGCAAGTAGTCCCCATAAAATCAACATAATGCTTGCACGAAGCTCAGCATACACCTAATTACTTTGCAGACCTGCAAGCCATATGAGTAAAGAATATGTTCCTAATTATAAGCCAGTCTAAAATATGATTTTCTGTTACATTTGAATTCCTGTAAATTCTTGACATGTCACTTTATAATGTGTCACCATGTAATTTACAAATTTGGGAAGGTTGCGGTATGTTAAGCTCTGAATGGGAAACCTCCAGAAATATCTGGCATTTGTATCATGTAATGAACTTCGGATGAAATCTTCCATGCTTCATGCTGCTGTGCTTTGGGTTGTGGTTCCGCACGTGTTTACTTCCAAAAGAACATCATCTCTCTTGCAGAGAGGTGATCTGGATTATAGGGTGATTTATGCCATGAGCTTCCATGATTCTAGCCCAGAAAGATTTAGACTGGAATAGTGGGAACAAAATTACCCTTTAATTTATGAAGAAATGCTTTGTTTCAATAGCAGTGTGTGAAGACAAAGATCATTATTAGCTTTGTTATTGCAGATTGACATTAAATGTCAAAGAAGCCAAGAGAATGAGAGAAAAAGTTTATTATTCTGTTGTTATTCCTGCATAAATTGTATTTCAGGATGCATTATGGGTATTGTAGATGAAAATGGGCTAAACTATGTGAAGCTTAGGGCCTGCTTCCTATTTTGGAATATATACTTACATTTATAACAAATCAAATTTTACATGACAGGAACTATTTAAAATTTTAAATTATTTTTCCTTCCCATCTTGTTGTTGTTTACTCAGTCTGGGTATCTGATTTCCTTTTTTCATTATTTCATATAAGTTTCTTTCAAATGTATTAGAAAATGATTAGGATGATCCAAATAATTTTCTTTTACATGACATCAGCTCCTTCATGTAATATCACTCATTCTTATTACACCCTGGTATCAACTCTGTGAGCAGTGGATGTGCATATATTAATCACTGGGGTCCAGAAAAAGATAATGTACAATAAAAATGTCTTACTGAATATTTGAAATTCTGAAATGTAAAATAAAGGTTTTCCTCCTCATGCTGTTTTACTATTAATTGAAGAAAAGCCTACTGAGTTGACATTTTGGTGTCAGTTTTGTTAGTAATTATTTTCTTTTCTAAGTAAAGACATTTCATGACAAGCATTTTTCCTTATTTTAATTAACTTTGAGTGAATGTATGGTTGTTTTTTTCCTTCTTGCTGTAGGTAACTGTGTAGGTTTAATTGTTTTTTTTTTTTTAATTCAATCTAATATTGTCCTTAATTTTCTGTGTCTGACTTATTCTGGTTGTCGGTGGATTAAAGCATTTGTTTTGTTTGTTTCTGAAAACAAAAGGAGAAGTGCAGTGGTGTTTTCCGGTGTCAAGAATTTGTAAGCGTTTAATTCAATGGCTATACATTTCATGTAATTACAACTTCTATCCTGACCTTGCTCTGGAGCAAGAGAATCAAAGTTGTTAAGTGCTTTTTTTTGTTGTTGCCAAGAAAGAGTATCCAACCTTAATCTAAATTTTGAAAGTTGGAATATGCTCAGTAGACACTTCTTATTTTGGCAGCTAAGTATTCTCTCTCTGTACCAAGAAGCATTGTGGGATTGGGTAAAGCTGCCCTGCTTCTACAAGCTATCATGCTATTCCAGTTTTAAAGTGGATTTTAAAGTGAATTCTCTGATCATCCCCACTTGACACTCATTGGCTCAGTTCACAGGGTGGTTTTGGTAGGTACAAACCAGGTTCCTCCTGGAGGAAGCTGAGCGTGGGATCTCTTCTCCAGGCGGACACCGAGCGAACTCCAGCCCCAGCGATCGGTCCTTTCGACAGCTCTGAACCACGTGTGTAGTGCAACATTCAATCTGAGGCTCCAGACTGAATTTAACTTGAAATAAAACTTGTAAACCCTACATGCTGGAAACGTAGGGGCCTGGGCACCAGCTGCTTCATTGACTGATCTGCTTCTTTTAAGCCAAATTACTGGGTCATGTGGATATAGCCTAGGACCTTTTAAAATTGTTCCCTTCAGCGGTCAGGAAGGTTTGTGATACAAGAAAAAGAACAAAACAATCTCACTCTGCGATTCACAGCCCAATCAAGGAGTATGAGGATGACTTAAAAGTACTGGGATAAAGAACGAGCCGGCTAGTGAGGTAGGCCATTACAAAGGCAGATTAGGTGAACTGAATGTAGGAATGAGAGGGGAGGACTAAAAATTGAGCTGGGGATCTCTCTCTGAGTTGAGACTCTGACAGAGAGAGGCTGGGGGACGCAGAGTCTGTTAGGGCACAGTGTTACAATTCTTAATGGCTGTGAAACGCACTCAGAAAATGTTTGCTTTATTATCCTTAGTGCTGTATCCATGTCAATAATAGAGGGCTGAGGGCTATATGTTTGTAAGCTTTTAACCCTGCTGTTGAGCACTGAAGAGTTGATATGATGCTACGCAATTGGCTTCAAGGCTCTGTTTTTCTGTGTGTGGTTAAATGATGAATCCATTAAAGTATTACTATTTTAAAATCAGACAGCACTCAAAGTTAAGAAATGCCAGAATTAAGTTTATTTAATTGAGGATGATCATACTGAGGCTTTGAGTAGTCCTCAGGAGAAGAAGTTTCAATGTGGTGAGAGTAGATGATACCGAGGAAGAGTAAGCTGTTTTATGTGAATGGTCAAACGGGCAGAGATGACAGGCTGGAGTTGAGAACTTTGGACAATAGAAGACACAAAACCCAAGAGGAAGCAAAGCCTGAGAAGCAGTCAGGTCCCATCTCACAGGTGAAAGGAAACCCTGAAGCCCAGTGGCTGGGCCTGCCTGCGCAAGTAATGCAGTCCAGTGAGAGCGGATTCAGAGAACGAAATAATTGGTGATGAGGACCTGATCTCTATCTACACTCAGTGCATTTGCAAAGTGAAGCGGGTGTTACTTTGGACTGGATCCTGTCTGCTCCTGTGCCCCTTTGGCGGTGGTAGTGCTCCTGGAGTGCATCTTGTGGTTTTTAGTTTCATCTGAAAGGAACCAGGTTTATGCACTCCAGGACTGCTTCATGCAGCAAAGTGCAGTGCATTAACTAAGGTGATAGGAAGATTTGTTGCAGAAGTGCTCTCCTTATCTGAACTAAAGTATTAATGCAGGTGTACCCTGTGAGACATCAGAACTTGTACAAGCGGAGAGCCAGCAGAGCAGTCTTCTTGGAGCGGAGCCTCTGCTCAGGCAAAAGAGGAGTGTGAATGTATTTTGTATGGACAGTCATATGGTTGTCTGTGACTTACTGTCTCAGATCTAGTGATAAGAACCAAGCATCTCATGGCCTTGTGTCCCTGTGCTGCTGCAAAGATATTCTTGCAATTCACTGGCTCGGTGTGTTTTGTTTCAGAGAGGATAATAATTTTTCTTTCTTCTTTCTGTTCTCCAGTTATTCCTGTAGCCAGATTAGGAGACAGATGTGTTGTCTTCCTTTATGAGTTTCCTTTTTAGATGACACCAGCATTTTTCCTTCTAATGCATACAGGTGAAAGGGAAGTGATCTTGACTAAAAATCTGAAATGCGATGAATCGAACCTTGCCGCTGATATGCTGAAGTTAAAACACGTATTTGACATTTATGCAGTTAGTATAAGGACTCTGCAGTAATTGCTGAAATGACTTTTACATTTTGGATTTGCTTATAAGCACAATGTTTTGCAGAGTGTTTTTTTAAAATTATTGTAAGAGTATTTTAAATTTTACTTAATGTGGTTTTACTGTATTTACTAAATTAAATTTAATGTTTTACGGGGGGGATATGTTTTTAATTTATCAGTTTGGAAACAGCTGGTTTTTTATATGGATGAACTTGCTTAGTATGATTAGAGCTGTATCATTACAAAAGTTGGTTTTATGCATATAATTCAGGTGGTATATTTTTCTTTAAAGTTAAAGTTTCCTGAGTTGTAGAGGTTGACCTTGTCTGTAGTCTATAATAGTCACAACAATTAGATTTAAGAATCATTAATAACTATGCTTAATTGCAACCTAATTTCTTTATATATAACCTGTGCACAAGATTTCAATTAGTTTAAACATATGAAAAGGTGTAAGAGTCTTTGTTACCATGTTATTAAAAGATCATTTGGGACAAAGGAAAAATTGACACAGATGCTAACTTTTTAAAGGACCCAGTTTTAAATTTAACATGTCAAATAACTTTTTCTTTAATTGAAAGAGTAAGTTTTTTTTTTTTTTTTAAATCTGGGGAGCATATACCTAATGTGTGTTGCATAACAAGATGGCTAAACATTATTTAAAGACAAAGCAAAATGTTGTCAATTCTGTTGTCATACTTCAATTACCATACCTCTGTTTGGGCTTCTGCGTTGAAATGTGTTACATTAGATAATGCTGTTTGTTGTGGCAATCTTTACATGGCTTGCATTTTTACGCAAATTGTATTGACTAGATAATGTATCTGACTTGCTTACGCGGGTGACTTTAATATATCACAACTTTTGATGTCCTCATTTTATCTCACAGTGCTCACCTGAAGTACAGAAGTATTAGTATACCAATTTTATAGG